AGCGCCCACACAAAATATTCTTTAAGACTGACCCTCACTCAATTTCTAAAACTTAAATGCCCTCGCATGATTTCCTAGCATAAACAGCTGCCCATAGGGAACCTCCCCCATCCTGTCTCCCATACATGACCTGATAACATCTCTTGCACTTTTTCCCACTTCATACTTAACTTCATACACTTCAATGCGTTATACACTAGTATGTGTGCCATTTTAAAGGTAATTCATATTCGAAATATACATGTATACTGACACATCCACTATGTCGCTTGATTAAGAAAAATTTTTAAAAAATACATTCGCACATAATCTATTTCAAACTAAAAATTCATTAAAAGTAGGGCAAAATCATGATGTAGGAAGATACTATTGAGAAAGTAAAAGGAGAAAAATGTGTTTCGAAAGAGTAAGCATTCTCTGTTTCATCGACAACATCCGTACAGCTCATCAAATCACACATTAACTGCTTTTGTTTTTTTTATCAATAATGTTTATTAACTGTATATTAATTAAGAATGGATTCTTTAATTCCGCTAACTAGATATAAAATTGGGTTAATAAGATACATTGATATCTTGTACACTACTTAACATCATAACTGTTATATCAATCTCAGAGTTAATTCACGTTACCATATGAAAATGACTGTCTTGTTCACTTTAAAATGGATGAGGTTGTTTCCTAGTAAGTTTCGGATTAAGTTTAAATCATTGTAATCCTTGGCATTAGATTCGCATACTTGATAAGAGATAGCTTAAAGAAGAAGGAAAGTGTTTATTTTTTGTATTGTACGGTTTATTGGAATAAGTAATCTAAGTTTATCAAATAACAAAGTGAATTGACTAGCAATAAAGGTACACTAATGGTAAAATAAAACAACAATTATATACAGGTGTGTTAAAAAAATGTTATAAATCTGAGAGTGGCGACGTTCCAATATATAAATGTGTGTACCCTCCAGATCATCTCACTGAACCACTGCTGTAACACATACATAGAACTAAGGAAAGTAAACATTTTACAAGCGGTCATTAGGTGCAGCATATTCATGTCTTATCCTAGTTTCTTGTCTAAAAAATCAAACAAACACGTATGTTACCTAAAGTATATCGCGCTAATACAGCGTGTAAATGTTTCAGGAACTAAGTGAAAACATCCATCACGGTGAAAGCGAAACTATAAACACTGAAGCTGTGGTTTCTATAAATATAATACAACACAGATGCTTACAATAACATAGCGCCTAACAAAATCTGAACGAAAATGCGTATCATCACATCTACCAATGTATCAACACGTATTGTGTTGATGAAAGATTACCTATATATGTACAATACATCATCAATTAATTAAGTCAGAGTTAAAAGTAAAATTAGCTAGAATGTAGCAAATTTGTCTCTTCGCCGCTTGAACTCCAAAATCCATAGTCAGTCATTTGAATAGTGTTTGTCACAAAAATGATATTTTCTCTAATTTTGATAACTCTGTTAATATAACAAGGTTTTTATTGTCGTAGTTTACAACAAAGATACAGTTTCGTGGATAAATCATGCTAAAGGAATCCGCTAGCGTTGTTATCCCTGACAACTGTTATATATGTTGATCATTTCGTGGACATAAATTTGGAGAACCCATCAATTCATCGAAAATAAGTCCCCCACGAAAATTAATTATTTATAGTACTTGATTAATAAGGAAAATGTTATACTGTATGATACAGCAAAGACTTTCATTTTCGAGGATGGAATAAAATCACAAAATCCAGATGTCTTGAAAATAAAACTTCTAGAGAAAGCCATGATTTGTGTCACAACCTTCGCTAAAATTGCTGACATTTTGGTTCAAGCTTTTGATAGAAACAGAAAAAATTGAACCACCGAAAACCTCAACATATGAATCGAAATTCTTTCGTTCGACCAGCTGGCAGATATTTGCTATGCTATACTTTAACAGGATCACACTGCATACCAGTAATAATGTTAGCAAAGAAATGTATTGAAAATGCATGTATCTACTTCGGATCAAACTAAAAATTTCAATTTCCAGCTATGACTACATTATTTATGTAAAGTTATCAACGTTTATTACCCGATACCAGGATAATACAAGTTTTATATATAGTTCCGTACACAAAAAGAGTTTAGATTATGTCGTATCTGTAGTATACTTGACCAGATCGAGTTGATGTGTCATTACACGATATTCGATAAACGGGGTTGTTTTGTAGCAGGATAAAGTAGTATATTATAAAGCATTAGACTGTTCTCTGTTATGTTACCAAACTATAGTTTCCATAAACATATTTACATATATAAGTTATCAGCTTACTTGCAATGTAAATAAGATTTGTTGACAAAATCCTAAAGGTGAGATGGTTCATTTACAGGTTTACTAAACAAGAAAAAAAGACAATGATCAGGATAACTACAGGACAGAATGTGTCAAGAGAAACAAAACAAAATCCACATATTCTCGATGAAACTTTTCATTTAAACTCGCATTTGAAATAGCTCATATAAATAAGGTCAACAAAGAATAGATATTATCTCTGCTTTTGACCTGAAGCCATCATCACCAGATCAATATTATTTATTTATTTATTTATTAATTACCTTGTTCATCAAAATCCACTAATAATTCTATGTAATGTTTTCTCAAACAATCTTTCAAGTTTTCACGTGTAACAATTATTACTCATTTAAAAATTTTGAGAACAAATCAAATTGTAGTTACCGTTGTTTTTGTATTAATTTTTTAATAATGCAAACATCAAACAAATCAGTCTAAGTTCATAACATAAGATAATTGTTTTTAAAGATACCCATTGTTCTACAAACGCAAAGAGGATTTTCCTCATCAAAGCAGTGGATCCGTCCAATTGATAAGTAGTTTTATACACATTTTGATAAACTGTGCATGAACTTCGACACCTGCTGTAAGTTGTTTCAATTGATTGTTTTAGAAAGACAAGTAATCATATTTATTCAGATTCATATAAAATCAATTGTCGAAATACTTCAATTATTTTCATGCTAATAAAGTAAATTATTTGGCATCAACATCAGTCATAAAAGTGTGTGTTTTATAATGTTCATAACACGTTGTTAGTTAAAGAGTGCAGGTGTTTCCTTGAGGTGCCCTTGGAATAGAGAAAAGATTGATATTAGCACCATAAATTGTCATTACAAAGTAATTTTGTTCATAAAACTTGCGTATCAATCAATATGGCTAATGTAATAACTGGTAGTATTTCACTATATTCATATTAAACGAACGCCTTTTTTCTGGAAACCAACTAAGTGACAGGTTATCTACAATCAGTATGTAGGACTACATAAAGCATCTTCGACAGTTCCACTAAGCAAACCAAGTCATTCTAATATCCCATCCTTATCTTTAGTTTGCCTACCCGCTATCATGACAAGACCAGGCTGTATAAGTACTCATCGGTGTTGACGCCTGCCTGCAGCCTATGGATATGCAGTGATATATGCCTTATCGGTGTGCACAAGCAACATGCCAATGATCGATCATATACCAACATCGATCTCTTACTTGGCTTTGCGTAATACTAGTTATAAAAGACATAGAAGCGGAAAATTCTCAATTGTCATCAGTTTTTAAAGGTGCTATTCATTTGTGTGCCTTTTGAACAATCTTTTCAATATGATTTATATCAATAGGGATGGACGTGCGCTACACATTTGGATTCCTACTGTATTTAATGTTTTACAATTGCGTAATGCACAAATTATGTTATCAAGAAATACATTTTTATCATGCATGTAAACTAGGCAGTGTGAAAATGATCTTCAAGAAATGTTTTGTGTTGCTTTATATAAACAACCACTTTCCTTTTCATACAAATTCCATCGTCGCCAATTATTTTAATTTCAATTCCCTTGTTTCTTCTTTTAATTACTTTTTAATTGCATTGCATGTAATTATTTGGACCTCTCGCACTGCACAGTATCAACAGCGTCACAAAGGATATCTAAACAATTTACATCAAATATCAAAATTAAACTTGAGATTCACTTCAGATGTAGAAAAGCCGATTATTACGTCTTTGCTGCAGCAACGGTCGCTCCTTTTGTAGTCTGACTGTGGTGTGCTCGTGACCGTGGCTGTAGCACAAGTAGGGCACTGAGGCTTTGGATAAGCGGTAGTCCGTCATCATTAAGCAATGCTTCTCTCTCGTTTGTGTTCTCCTCGAGTTTAAACCCAAGAAGTTCTAAGGAAATCGATCTGTACATCATTAAAGACATTTAATAGGCGATTGTTCTGTCTGCACCGGACAACAATTACGGTTGGTCAATGGCATCATACCGACATACGACGGTTCGATATAGTCCGACATGCGTAATCATGATATACCTGTTTCTTTACCATTCTTTAGGATACTAAGTTTAGTGTGATGATCAAGATTTTGATATTGAGTTAAGGTATTTTTACGTTATGAAGCGTGATAATAAGTACCTAATCAACTGTCATCGGCCTCTTTCCTTTGCTCAATCACAATGTATTAACAATATCCTATCAAAGTTAAGGACACCATGTACAAGACACCAAGGTGAAAAGCACCATTTAAAAATTTCAAAATTGGGAACGGTAGAACAAAAAATGAATTAAATTGCATCATACAGCTGTTTCGCTGTTCTAGGACTTTGAAACCTTGGATGCGAATTTAATTCAATAAGTTTTGATATTTTGATATACATCTGATGAAGTCATCTTAATATTGAAGGATGTTCACTCATAATAGAATACGATAGTCATACATTACATCTTGGGACAAATGAGCCAAAAGTTGCGCCAAGTCCATTAACCTTCTGAATTGTTGTACCTATTGAGAATAAATTGTCACACCTATGAGAGTCATATATACATTTATATTTGTATTAATGACGCTGATTAATATTGATTGTTCAGCATATTTAGATTAGCACATGCTGGTTCGCTTTCATGTCTGTCCAGTTTTATATTTAAGATGACTCAAGTGTGTTTTTGTTGTTTCAGTGTATGAATTCATCGTCTCATCATCGGCTATTGCGAGAAGACCAGGTAGCAATCTTAGACAGACACGACATATACCTAGCAAACAGCACATGGAATCCATTTTCACCAGCCTTCCGGAGAAAATAAACGTTTCTTTCTGGGATTATTTCCGAAAACTAGGTAATGGCGACTGGACTCAAAGACCTATGGATATTATACGAAAATTTGATCAAGAAGTCATTCGGCTTTCGAATAGTGCAGGAAAGGGAAAGATTCAACAGTATCTTAATCCGTCTATATACAAAAACCTAACTTATCAGAGAAAGGATAAACCAGTGGTAGATAGCATGAGTGTGTTACTCAACGTTCTTCTACATGAGCTTCACAGACCTGGGTCCATTAGCCACAATTCTGTACCACCATCTGACACTACAAATCGAAAACTTCCGAACGATAGCTGTGAACGGACCAAACGCGAATCGCATTTGTTTCTAAGTAATAACACCTCTTTAGAAAAAGATGCATATCAAAATGCATCACTTCATGAAAAACAAAACGTATCTGGTCTGACTGATGACAACGAAAGAATTACAATTTTGCCATTGACTGAATCCGTTCAAGCAAATGAAAGTTCTTCAAAACCAACGAGAGACGTCACAAGCAGTAGGGTTAAGATAGTCAGGAAGTCACGTCGTCGTGCTTACAGATCTAGAGTCATTACTCCAAAAAGGAAAAAGAAGTTGGAATGCCAGACCATAGTGGCATGTATCCATCCCTACATATCGTACCTGGCAGGCACCATAATGTTTATCCTAGTAGTCTATCTCATTATAGTGTTTGGCAAATGTGTATGTGACGACTCCTTCTAGATATTACAATGTATATACTGCCGATATGCAATGACAACGTGTGTCTACAGATACACCAATTAAGATGCATATAGTATAGGAAGTGTAAAACTCAGAGAACAGGAAGAGTTCAAATAGTATGTAATTAAGAACCAGCCATATAGTGCAATGTTTGCAAAAAATTCAAGAAGTTCCGGACACGTAGTGCAAATACATTTTTTTCTACTCTTTAGTAACTCAGATGTAATATAATTTATGCAATTTATGCAACCTCGAGCCACAGAAATGCTAATTGATTTACATTACTTTAATTGACATTACTTTTATTGATTGACGTTACTTTCAGTGCAATGTTTCTGTTAATCCTCCTTTCTCTGAGATACATTCGCGAAACAGTAAGAGTACCCGAAGCAGGCAATTGTGACTAGCGTGTTGTGTTCATGGTAAATGTATTTGTATTGAATTAGTTTACAAAAAATAAATCAGGACGATTCAAATCCTTTATCAAAGCCTACTGATTAGGTTGAATGTTTATTTTGAAGAAGGCGCACTAACTTAACAATTATCTCAAGATCAGTAAAACTAAGGCAAGATGTGAACAAAAGAAAGTTTTACTCGAAGACATCTTTAACGTTCAAGACAACAGATCAGGTAAACAAATATGATGGGGTGTACACGACGATCGATATCTATTAGGACTATTGCGCATTTTCATGTACACGAAATGTAATTATTAATGCATTTAAACTGACAGTTCAAATTACTAGCATCTGCATCAAGTGATTTCCGTGTAACTGAAGGGACTGCTGGACACATCAGCTTTGCCACGTTTACGTTGCGTAACTCTGTGTTGAAATGTTACCATAAAATATTCCCAGTCACTCTTAAGCAAAGTCTTTTCATATTGTTCGCCCAGGCAGTATGTACAATAAAGATGGCAAGTTAAAGCTCTAATTGTAGGTTGATTAACAAAGCTGAAAGATGGTCAAACAGACGGAGAGAAAGTATATACACAAAAATGGGCAATGAGAAGAGAATAGCTTCGTTAGAGGTAGTTGAAGCGATGAAATAAGGCGTGAAGCAAGTGTCAGATAGTTCAGATATGTTGGAAGGAGTTTACTATCGGAGCAAAAATCTGGAGGTATTTTACACATAAAAAGGATTGTAAATACAGTTATTGTTTCGGGACCACAGTTTCATATGTCTGAAAAAGAATAAAAGCCGTTAACTAAGATTTTGATAGATGAAATACCACCTCTTGATCAAGTAGATGAAAACGTGTTGTCATATATGTCTTTCATATTGTACAAAATAGTTTATACATGTTTATACGTTATATGCAATTACTGCAACGATTGTTAATAGATACAGTGTCTAATTTTCTTTTTGTATGAATCGTGAAAATCTTATATAGATAATTATAGTACATATCTGTATAGATTTGCTGTGCACCACTGATCTAAATCATCAAATTGTGATAATAAAATTTTGTAGAGTATCTTTTCTTTTGTATTATATCAAAAACAAAAGCAACATGTACCTTTAGTGAATTATAAAAAACAGAAAATCTTGAGAGTACTAAAATAGCACCTGTGTCACCTGGGTATCGTGTATTTGTCTCATATGCCAATGACTACATTGTGAAAGGTTTCTCCAATTGTTGTTTTTTTTTTTTTTTTTTTGGGGGGGGGGGGGGGGTGGGTTTCAAAGCCGAATGCTTAAATGGATATTCTGCACATGTTTGTTTCTGGCAGAATGGCTTTTAAAACTATTGTCAGCATTAAATAGTTTTCCTGTGGTCAGTTTGGACAGGGAATTGGTAGAAATACCGCCTGCCGATATAATATATCTTATTCAACGGGTTTTACGTCCATTATTTTATTTTATTTATTTATTTTTTTATTTTTTTTTTTTTTTTTTTTTGCCTTTTAGTGGACGGGTGCTTTGTTTGACTTATATCTTGTCGATTTTAAAGTATACAGATTGTACAATAAACATACAAGTAAAAAATACCACTTCATAATTTAGAGTAAGATACGCTAGAGTCAATAATGAATTAAACTGCATCATACAGCTGTTTCGTCCTTTTAGGACTCGTCAGTGATGCTACATCATACAGCTGTTTCGTCCTTTTAGGACTCGTCAGTGATACTAGGGGCATAAATTTTTAAGTCTAAGAGGCGACTGACGAAAATCCACTGATCAAATGAAAAGCCAAAATCTAGACAAGGAGGATCAGCTGCCTTATAATTGGATAAATTTCACACTGATTGGCAAATAAAAACCAAGCCGTTTGTTGTTCAATTATAGCCGAGCTGTTGTTTGTAAACGGATTTAGCTAGATCTATAGATATTTTCACAAACTGAATGATTGTTTAAATGGTGACTTCAGGCATACAATTTCTTTAGGAACACTGTAGAACCCTTTGTTATTTTTTCATAAAAATAATCTGATGAAATCCGAACTTGTGCTGAATATCCCTTCCACGTTTATATCATTTTCAATGATTGTATTCTGTTTTATTTCAATAATTGGGAAATTCACCACCTAATAAGTCTAAAGGAAAACTGAGATGCGTCTAGTAGTATACAGATCAGTTTAAAGGAAACAAATGAGGTGTGTCTTGTGTTATGCAGATAGGTCTAAAGGAAACAAATGAGATGTGTCTTGTGTTATGCAAATAAGTATAAAGGAAATATTTGAAATATGTCTTGTGTTATGCAGATAAGTCTAAAGGAAGCAAATAAGATACATCTTGTGTTATGCAGAGATGAGTCTAAAGGAAACAAATGAGATGTGTCTTGTGATCTGAAAATAAGTCTAAAGGATATAATTGAAATGCGTATTGTGTTATACAGATAAGTTTAAAGGAACAATGAGGTGTGTCTTGTGTTATGCAGATAGGTATAAAGGAAAAAATGAGAAGTATCTTGTGTTATGCAGATAAGTCTAAAGGGGAACAAATTAGATTTGTCTTGTGTTATGCAAGAAGTGTTGGTGATGTTTCCTCGTTTACTTCCGCGTATTTCCTCTTATTTCCCAGTATTGTTGATATTAATTTCTATTTCATTTTTGGTGTTGATGCTGCAATACTGAGTTATCAGTTTAAGTTCCCTGAGGAGCCATTCACCTTATGGTCTGTCCCTACAATTCTCACTCATATAGCTACACAATTTATTTAGCCACAGCTGCAGCTAGGAAGCCGCTCGCTCTAACTACGTCACGAACAGACAGATATATATCCGTTATTGTCATGAACGTATTGAAATAAAACTATAGTTTTACACTACTGACTCTTAGTTGTACATATACTACCATGTTTAATGAAGATAGAATGCGTCTGTATGCTGTCAAAATTGTCGATATGCATGAATCTCAGACTCGGGAACAGCTTAGTACCAGTGTCTATCAGGCATCTGATGTTTAAATACACATCTCTGTCTGAGGACCCGGCAGTTAATGTAAATGGCATAATAGTTAACAAAACCGTATGGCTCTACTTACAAAAGCATTATCAACAACAAAGTATATTTCTAACACGACAGGCAATAGCGAGTTCAGGTACTGAATCCAAACGACTCGGTATATGATTATTTGATACTTTTAAACTTCTAATTCGTTTTAGCAAAATAGGAAGCATATGCTTGACTCTGGTTGAAGCAAGTATGTGGTCTTAACTTGGGATCGAGGGAAAACTCGCGTGTGGTTTCCAACTGTCATTCCGCTTCGATTGCGCATTTGAAACACAGACACTTATCTATCATTATTTCGCCGAGATTTGACGTGAAAAGTATTGCTCAACCGCATAGTTTTTCCCCAGACACACTGCGTTCCTTCCACAGTATCACATTGTACCTTGGTTCGAAATTGTTGTAACAGAAATAAAGAGGGTATAATATAATGTTTGCTTGCAAAGCTCTTTTTATTACAACGCCATAAACGCTATAACATGACAGCTCCATTCTTAAATGTCATGTTTTGCCTTACCGGAAGCCTTAGTGTATTTATGATCGGCAATCATTTAGATGTAAACGAAGATGGTTATTTTGTTAGAAAGAGTAACTCTTTCAAATTCTGCGAGATGAAATCAAAACACACCGAGACTATTGACAAAGTACATGTACCATAATGTTACATCCAGAAGAGTAAGCTTCTTGATTCGTCATTGAAAGAGCACCGAGCACAAGGAAAGATCATGTTTCTCGATGAGATTAGCATTTTTACTATCAATATATCAATACCTCATATATTCAACAGATTTTGAGTGTGGTAGAAATCAATAGCCCAGAGGCTACAGTATATGTTATCTTACTTATTTAAATGAAATATATTGTATAAAGTTTGATTAAAATCCATTAAGAAATGAAATAACAAGAATGCAGAAAATTTCCGACGCAACTTTGGCGCGAGAGAAAAATATCAAATAAAAAATACAATGGTTTTCTAGCACATTGGTTTATCGATGTTATTTCAAGTGTTAGCAGAAACTGTAAAAAAGAACAATCAATGTTTTAGCTGTGGGCACCATTTACTCCACACTATAATCAGTTTTATGTTTTTTATACTAAGGGTTCACGTTAAAACAGCGGACTAACACAGGTTGGAACAAACCATGAGAAGGACATGATGGTGTGATCAGTGTAGCACTAGAGATATATTGTAGTCAGATTGTATCAAAACAGTGATAAAATCCTAGATTATGTGGTAAAACTTGGCGGAATATTGCAGTTTTGGAACATCAAAAAAAAAGTTTTACATAACATACAGCCATACTCCTGAACCATTTGTCACGATCTTCATAGTCTGACCTACATCATATATATACATCTCCACCCTAACCAAGGCTGTATAAACTAGTTTAAACGTAAAGTTACTGCATTCCTGTTTGAATTAAGGACTGTGATATTTTTACGAGCTGATATATATCACATTTGGAACATCTCCATGATCGTGCGGAATCTTCTCGTAATACTACCGTTCCATACTCTAAGTAAACGACTTTATCTTTATAACACAACTG